CTGTGAGTTGTGTGACACCATGGCACTCTACAGAGGGCGATAAAGTGAGACTCTGTCTCTTAAAAAAAAAAAAAAAAAGTACATTCTGTCATTGGATTTGACAAACCCTTAGAGAAAAGCAGTATAGGTGGTACAAGCTTCATTGTGTAAGTAGAAGAAACTGAGACTTAAGATGGTGGAAGAGATGACACTAGGGCCCAGGCTTTACCATTAGTTCCTTGTATTTCCTCTCTGTTCTCCACCAGCTTCAGATAATAATTCACTCAGTAGTAGATGCATTTGGAACCAGAAGGTAACAAAAGGGACAAAGTATTGCAGTAGTAAATTAAAATATTTAAGAGAAAAGTTCCTGCTTAATAATAGAGTTTGAAAGAGTAACTGCTTTGGGTTCTTTTAAATGATAACGTGAATAAATTACAGGTCCTGCAGTTGTCAGTCACCACCTTGCTCGAGTTCTGCTGTTGTGGAAATGTGTCTTTCCAGCATCTCCTAAAGATCTAGAAACAGAAAAGAGCCGAGGAGATTCTTTTACATGGCAGGTAACCCTGGAAGGACGAGCTGGTGCACTCTGTGGTAAGTTGAGTTTAGTCTTTTTTTCTACACCCTTTTTCTTTACATGTATTAATTTGTTTTACTTAGAGTAATGGGGGAAAAATCTACCTCTGGTGATTTTTGTAACTGAACAACAAAAGAACATAATTGACTACTTGGTGATGATAACTGAAGTATGACACACAATAAACAAAATTTGAGAGTCCTGATCCTTGAGATAATGCATATTTTATTAGATGCAATCCAGTTGAAAACTGTCAACATTGTGTTATTTTAATTGGGCATTCATTCCTCTTTTTAGAAATACTAGGATTTAGTAATTACCTTTGCTTAAGTGTGGTTTCCATTGAGTCTATATAGTTGACCCCTGAATGATGTGGGAATTTATGGATGTCTACCATGGTGAAGTTGAAAATTCACATCTTACTTTTGATTCCCCCAAAACCCAACTACCAATAGCCTACTAATGACTAATAAATAGTTCATTACCACAAATTTTATATGTACTATATGTAGTATTCTTATAATAGAGTAATACAATAAAGCTAGAAAAAAGAAATGTTATTCAGAGAATGATATTGGAAAGGCATTTACTGTTCATTAAGTTGAACTAGATCAACATAAAGGTCTTCATCTTCTCTTCATGTTGAAAAGGCTGAGGAGGAGAAAGAAAAGGGATTGGTCTTGCTGTCTCAGAGGTGCCAGAGGCCAAAGTGGTAGAGGCAGTGGAGGAGGGGCAGCCACACTCCATGTAATTTCTATTGAAAAAATTCTACATAGGCTTGTAGAATTTGAAGCCAGCCCAGGGCCTGCCAAACAACAATTACGACAGCAACAACAAAAATAGCCAGGCATTGTGCAGGTGCCTGTAGTTCCAGCTAGTTGGGAGGCTGAAGCAAGAGAATTGCTTAAGCCCAAGAGTTTAAGGTTGCTGTGAGCTGTGACGCCACAGCCCTCTACCCAGGGCAACATAGTGAGAGACTCTGTCTCAAAAAAATAAAATAAAAGAGAGAAAAATCTACATATAGATGGGCCCATGTTGTTCAGATCTGGGTTAGTCAAGGGTCACCTAGGTATGAAACTTGTACCCTTTTGCAATATATAGATTGTTAAAAATAGTATTTTATCATGAAAATTTGAACTAAGGAAAGGTTGAGATCCCTAGAAAGACATGGAGGCTTTGGTTTTGTTTGTT